CGTACCATCGTCTCCCACTATGACATCCAGGCTACCCCCACTTTACGTCCACCGTGCTGGCACACACAGCATAGCCAAGCCCTCTCCGTGTGCGTTGGCCGTTCGAGAGACGGTGAGCTATATTTAGAAAAGAGTGGGGGTAAACCGTACCACGATTCTACCATCCTGCTGCCTTGGAAATCCTGTTCGAATATCACTGCGGCGAAAATTCACGTTCTCGACGCGATGCCCCGCAACCTAAGCGCGTGAGCAACAGTCAAGAGACACTGTTCGAATCCCAATGCGGCGGTTTTACTTTTTATTTTTAATTATTTTATAATTTCACTTTGTAACCTCTAAGTAAAATAAAAAAGTTAAAAAATATTAATTCGGGAAGCATTTAAAAAGAAGAAAATAAATGTTTTCCACTTCAATATCTACATTTTTTATTATATACATACATATTATGTTGTATACACATAAATTATTTTTACAATTAGATGTTATCCTTACAACCCTACTCATTACTACTCTGAACATTCGTACAAAAATCTATTAGATTTAACTGCAATAGTTTGGAAATTTCGATAGTAATCAATTTCTAAAAGCTGTTTCAACGGCAAGGGCAATCATACGCGTTGCCGAATACGTTATTGTTTCATTATGTCAAAAGAGATAATTAGGAATTTCAGAGGTTTTGAAAGAAGTGCTTTAGGCGCTCGAAAAAGCAGTATACTGCGAATAATGATCCGTTTCAAAACCTCTGAAATTCCTAAAGTACCTCTTTTCAAAAGACTCTTTTGACATAATGGAACAATAATGTATTCGGCGACGCGTATCTTTTACTGTGTACTTTCTTTAAAATGTTATAAATATATGTAGGAGATTCTCCTGATGAAAATAAGTTCAAACATGGCATAAATCAGAGTCTCTTTAAGAAGATAGAATTTGTATCGCGACATAACGTATGAATAAAAATTGTTTTGCTGCATCCCCTTCTTCTTTTATGTATACAGATTGAACATTATTCAAAACAGTATTAATGAATAATTCCAAATATTTTATTTAACTGTGGTTAAAATACAAAATTGCAATTACACAATTACATAAATAAATAATTACGTATACAATCAAATCTAAGATGCTTGTAATCACATTTCACAAGCTATCATCAGCAGCAAAGTAAATTTTGTTTCAAGGAATAAATGGAACATCCAATACTATATCAGCATAGTAAAACAATGCACGAATGGAACCAAGTTCAATACTTAAAAGTAGTTTTTCATTATCGAATGCTTGCAAGTTAGAATACTGCCACAATACTAACAATCTTTGCAAATGATGAGATATAAATAAAATAAACAATTATTTTTATTTCAACGAAAAAGCAAAATTGTGACCAATTATCCCACCTTTCCCTTAATGTCGCGATACGAAATGTATGTTATTAAATATAGTCTGATTTATGTCGGGTTTGGACTTTTTTTCATCAGGAGAGTCTCCTACATTTATTCATAACATTTTTAAGAAATTACACTGAAAGGAGTAAAAATTTAAATTTTTATTCATGGGTGATTCGTTCTGTGTATTACATTGTAATCCGAACGATACCATCGCCTCACGCCGAGGCCCCGTGACGTCATCTGACTTGGTCGGTTTAAATCCCACTTGGTGTCCCATCCATTCTTTGTTGTTATGTAGTTTGTTTCTGACTGACTCCCTTCTACTCAAAAGTGAGGAAGCGAAATTACAGAATAATTTAACAAAAAAAAGATAAGTTCATATCAATCTTAATATTTTATCTTATGTTATGAAAATTACTATTTCAATTGTGTTTTTTTCTTTTCATATGAAGAAAAGCAAAAGACCATTCGGCATCGTATATACGTGGACCAGCTGCAGCGGTTCTCGTTAGCGGCGAAATGTATCATTAACAAAAAAAAAATGAATTTTAAAAATGCTTCCCGAATTAATATTTTTTAACTTTTCATTCAAACTTAACTTAGAGGTGGCAAGTAAAGCCAACAAATTTTAAAAGACTGAAGATACACTTATGACGTAATATTTTAATCTAATAGATTTTTGTACGAATGTTCAGAGTAGTAATGAGTAGGGTTGTAAGGATAACATCTAATTGTAAAAATAATTTATGTGTATACAACATAATATGTATGTATATGTTAGAAATATTTTGTATAAAACTTGACTCCGATCTCTTTCGAGGTTCTGGGGTAAGTGCCGTGTCCCTTGACACAGTCCTCTTGCCAGAGAGTCCCCACGACTCTTCCCCCTCTGTGGCCAGATCCTTTATTTAAAACCTTTTATCTCACGCGCCTCGATAGCAACCGGCAACCGGCAACCGACAATCCAGCGTCGGTCCCTTTGCCATCACGGAACACCCGGACTCCGAGGCCGCGAGTAATCAACAATGTATCGCCACTCGAGCCGCCATCGAATCTAAACACCGATGATATGTTTAAGATTCCGGCTATTGACGATACAATTTCTTCTCAAGAAGCCAACACCACGTGCCTCTCCTTTCATAAAAGAATTAACGCTAACATATATAATAAAAAATGTAGATATTGAAGTGGAAAACATTTATTTTCTTCTTTTTAAATGCTTCCCGAATTGATATTTTTTAACTTTTTTATGTTACTTAGAGGTTACAAAGTGAAATTATAAAATAATTAAAAATAAAAAGTAAAACCGCCGCATTGGGATTCGAACAGTGTCTCTTGACTGTTGCTCACGCGCTTAGGTTGCGGGGCATCGCGTCGAGAACGTGAATTTTCGCCGCAGTGAGAATTGTGATTAGATGAGGATCTCCGAGGTCCTCTCCTTGTTTACGTTCCCGACTGACGTACCGAATGTCGGCGGAAAGACCCGAACGGCCAGCGCACACGAACAGGGCTAGGATATGCTTGGTGTGCCAGCACGGTGGACGTAAAGTGGGGGTAGCCGTGATGTCATAGTGGGAGGCGATGGTACGTCGGAGTGGAAGAGTGGTGGGTGTAAACAGTACCACGCTTACCCCCACCACTCTCCCACTCCGACGTACCATCGTCTCCCACTATGACCTACCGGCGTCTCCCACCTTACGTCCACCGTGCTGAAACCAGAGATGGACAAAATTTCTATCTAAATAAAAATCGTGAATAAAGAAAAAAAGATAACAAATTTTTTATCGTTACTCAAAGCGAGAACAAAAAAATAACTTTATCGACAAGCATCGATTAAATCAATGTATTCAACAAAAATTATCCGATGACTAAAATTCGATAATCCGTTATCGATAAATCCGATAACTTACTTTTTGTATTCATGGCGTTTCACTCATAGCGTCGACAATATTTTCATGTTTTCAATATTTTCAAGTGAAAAAATATATACTTTTCCATTATATTTTTATTCCCGTTAAATCATATAGATACACGCAATATGAATGGAATATACAGGGTATTTCACGTAACTTGACCACCTTAAACATATCGCTTATTTTGTATGATAGAAAAAATATCAGGGGAGAAAAATATTCTGTTCGAAGGCGCCAATACGGTGATAGGCTGAATTTTTTTCTCAACGTAATTTTTTTCGAGATTTCAAGGTCATCGAATTTTTTTTTAATGGGGCTACATATGTTCATTACAATACTCTTATAGCATATAAAAAAACAAATCCAACGAGGTGCAATATGTTGACCTTCACGTGACCTTTAGTGAAAAAATCATGAAATGTTTGTCAGTAAGCTCAGTACGCGTTCGGGGACGGTAAATGAAGGAATTTCAATTTCATTGGAACAGTCTTTAGTTAAATCTTTATTTTAGAAGGTGTTCAAAATGTGCACCATGAACCTGGATACATTTTTGGAGGCGGTAAATAAATTCTTGCTGTACAGTTTTAAGTTGCTCTGCAGTAATTGATCTACATTCATGTAGAACCCTTTGTCGCATGTTTTCTGCCGATGAAAGGAGAATACGAATGTCTGTTTACAAGCACCAGGGACAATTACACGGTACACTGTTCCAATGAAATTGAAATTCCTTCATTTACCGTCCTCGAACGCGTACTGAGCTTACTGACAAACATTTCATGATTTTTTCGCTAAAGGTCACGTGAAGGTCAATATATTGCACCTCGTTGGATTTGTTTTTTTATATGCTATAAGAGTATTGTAGTGAAAATATGTAGTCCCATTAAAAAAAAATCGATGTCCTTGAAATCTCGAAACAAATGACCTTGAGAAAAAAATTCGGCCCATCACCGTATTGGCGCCTTCGAACAGAATATTTTTCTCCCCTGATATTTTTTCTATCACACAAAATAAGCGATATATTTAAGGTGGTTAAGTTACGTGAAATACCCTGTATAACACTTCATTTGTGCTAATAATACTCAGAATTCATGCTTTATCGGTAACGTCGGGTATTGACACTAAAATGGTAAGGGGGCTTCTGACACCCTCGAAGCACGGGACAGAAAATTACATTGCATGTAGGTCTATTCGTATATCTCGTTTGTGATGTAAACAGACGTAGTAGTGTGGCAGAGCTCACGAACAGGATAAAATATGTTTGTGTAGAATACTCACGGGAGGCATGGAGAGGGTAAACGCTCGCGCGGTTATCCCACGATTCTGGCATTGCACTCTCATTTTCTTTCTGATACTGCTTCTGCTTTGATACTATTAGAGCAAAGTAATTTGTCATTTTTATCATGTCACACCAAATAGCGAAAGTAAAATGTTAATTGATTGTTTTAACTGCTATTAACCTTGTGATAAGTTTTTTATATAATTTAAGAAACACTTATGACATTTGAGAAGTACGTGGACATAAATTGAAATTGACATTACAGGTGTTTCCAACAAGATTACGTGGAAAATCTTGATATGTTTATAATAATGTCAATATGAGGAAGTAAAGACATGATTAGAAGTGGGGTTGTCGATTCATAAGCGCGAATAAATAGTTTCATTCATTCCGTAATTAAATACTTGTATCTATTTAGTAGTCATTGGAATAGTGATCAAACAATGTATCTTTTGATACGAATTCTTTTAACGCAAATACTATTGGCGTACTTTGTCATTGGTAGTCCAGAAGAAGAACAAGGTGTTAAGTATGCAAATAAATGTGAAGGTAACTTCATTCAGTGTGTAAAAATAATTGTATAACCTTTTCTCCTTCACATTGTTATATGCTAATTTATATTATAGTTTGCAAAGTCGTTGCCATGGAATTGGAGGCAAAATTAGATGAAACTGGAAAAACACACGATGTACTTGAAATTGGGTATTCAGTTGATGACGTTTTGCCTAAGAAAAAAAAGGAATACAAAAAATCGTAAGTTTCATATACCTATTTAAAAGGTATACATTATAATTATTTATGTTGGAACATAATTTGCAAATTTTCAATTATAGAGAATTACGTTTAGTGGAAAGTATGGAAGGTCTTTGTGAAAGAATATTAGATTATAATATTCATAAGGAACGCTCAGATAGTACAAGGTTTGCTAAAGGAATGAGTCAAACATTTAAAGCACTCCATGGACTTGTGTAAGATATTTTTCTGTAGTAGTAATCCATTTTTTATGACCTTGAAAGTCATTTGTATCATCTTATGTTGATAGAAATAGAGGTGTTAAAGTTGAATTAGGAATTCCATTCGAATTATGGGATAAACCTTCAGTAGAAATTACAACTTTGAAGACTCAATGTGAAAATTTACTTGAAAATCATGAGTCTGACATTGAAAATTGGTACCATAGTCACCAAGGAGAAATTCCTTTAATTAGGTATTTGCTAGTATTTTAATAATTTTTAAATAACTGAATTTCAATTAATTATACAATATTCATTTTCTTAGATATTTGTGTTCAGAACGAGCTTTAAAGGGTGGGTATGATTCTTGCCTGGAAGAAAAAAGTGATCATGGGAAAGGTATTAAGGATATAAAGAAAAAGGAAAATGCACCTAGTAAAGAAAATGAAAAGGATATGAAAGAAGAATTATGAATTATTAAAACAAACGTTTTACTAGTTTTTTATAATGCCCAACACAAATTTGTTATACATCTTTGTAATGAGTTTCATTATAATTTGTGTCTAGTCTGTAAATAATAAAAGTTTTGCCAACTACCTACCAAAATCTGACTATATATTTTTAACTATTTTTTAATAAATAATTTTATGTGCAATAAAAATTGTGTTTGATGTTTTTTTCTTTAATTTTATTATAGTGAGAATAATTTGAAGGTAGGGACCTAGTGACAAAAACAACAAATGTATTTTACTATAATAAATATGCCAGTGTTTATTTTGTTCCTCTTACTTTCAATTGTGAACGAATATGAAACTATATTGCTTAGAGGGCAAACGATGGACAGTTTCCTTGGTTATTACAATTTCAAACAATAGCACCATTTAGTAGAGTACTTCTTTCATCAGATTGGGTTTGAACTGCTGTACAATGTGTACAGGACAAGAGAAATGTATAATATTCTCTACTTCTAATATGTACTAAGGACAGTGTAGTAAAGTTACATTTTCATTTTATTATAGTCTATTATTTTGTTTGGTACTAGGCTAAATAGAACTGGCTCTAGACAATCAGTATCTGTCAAAGCTGCTTATACAGGATGAGTCTCGTAACGTGACGACTTCAAATAACTCGTAAGTTATTTGTTGTACAAAAAAATTGTTCAAATAAATATTGCATGGTTTCCAGGGTGGCATACAGCGCTGTAATCTGTTTTTTGTTATTTTGCTTCTTTATCGAGATATGAGGGTCATCTTCAGTTTCTTAAATAGAATGCTCAATATTTTATCCCAAATTCGGATAAAGCACCAAATTCTGCGTAAAAAAGTATTATACCAAAGAGGGCTTAAAATTAATAATTCCTGAGATATTTTCAAATTAATAATCTTCTATTAGGAAACACGACTTCGTTTACGACGACAAGTCATATTTGTAATAAACACGTTCTTTGTTAGATGTTAGACATCATCTATATGAGATGTAGCTGAGTTTAGTAGCTCGGTAAACGTAAAAGTAAGTTGTTCAGTAACAGAGAAAAGTGCAATATGATAACTGTTTATGGTGCGTGTGATGAAAATGCTATGAGAGCTAAGATATTATACCAAACTTAGTAACCTGATCGAAATCAGCTATCACATTTTAACTTTGTAAGGCTTCGTAAAAGGCTTCAAGAACATGGCAGTTTTAACGTACAGAAACGTAACTGTCGTAAAATTGTAAATGATGAAGGATGTCGTACTTCTACCTTAGCAGCTGTTGCCCATAATCCACACATCAGTACACGGCTGATTTTGCGTGTTCGGGTATTAGTCAAAGCAGTGTTGGCGGATTCTTCATTCGGATAACATTTATCTGTATCACTTGTCAAAACATCAGAAGCTAAATGGACGAGATTTTGAGAAACGCGTAGAATTCTGTGATTGCTTGTTGCACCAGATGAAAGATTCGAATGGTACATTTGTACAGACTGTTTTATGGATTAACGAAGCCACGGTTACAAATTGTGGATATTAATACAAAAAATATGCATTATTGGGCAACAGAAAATCCACATTGGATTCGTGAAATTGATCACCAACAGTGGTGGAAAGTGAATGTTTGGTGCGGCAAAATTGGTCACTAAATCATTGGACCGTACTTCATTGAAGGATCATTAACGGGTCAAACATTGATATAATATTGATATACAATATACCGTGTCTAATACGTCAAAGAATGTGGTATCAACAGGACGCCTGTCTAGCACATTATGCACGGCAATCGCGGCAAATATTAAATAGGATGTTTCCTAATTGCTGGATCGGACGTAACAGTAACATTGCTTAGCCAGCTCGCTCGCCGGATTTAACGCCGCTCGATTATTTCCTTTGGGGAACATTAATAAATGAAGTTTATCGCGAGCCATCAACGATGGCCAAAAATATGCGAGAACGTATTATTAGTGCATGTGCTGCATTAACTGCAGAAATACTAGAAAAAGTTCTTCGTTCACACATAATCCGATTACGCAAGTGCATTGATTGTAATGGACAATACTTCGAACACCGCTTGAAATAAAACTTGTTGTACAAATAATACGGTGTAATACTTTTTTTATGCAGAATTTGGTCCTTTATCCGAATTCGAGAAAAATATGAGGCATTCAATTTAAAAAAACTGAAGATGACTCTCATATCTCGGTAAAATGTAAAGTAACAAATAAGAGATTACAGCATTGTATACCCCCTGGAAACCATGCAACATTTGTTAGAAAAATTTGTTCGTATAACAAATAACTTACGAGTTATTTGAAATCGTTATGTTACGAGACTCACCCTGTATATATCCTGACTATGATGCCTCCTCAATTTTTCGCGATCGGGATTACGACATAGCTCTTTTGAAACTTATTGAACCATTTAATATGTATAATGATAAAATAATCTTACCAAGTATTGTACCAGTCAACTGTGACAATGATTATATATCATATTAAATTTTTGGGTGGCAAAATTACATTTCATCATCTTCAAAAGTTTTTGTAAAGTCCATACAGTGTCAAGAAGTAATAGATAATTCCTGGAAATTATGTACATATATGATAAAAACAAATGAAAATTACACAAATGTGTTCTATACAATGGTTGAATTTAAGAATGAAATGAAAGCTTGTGCTGGTAACCCTGGTTCTCCAGGTATATGTGAAAATCAGTACTGCGTAGTAGCATACTTGGCATTGCATCACAAACAAATTTCTCTTTAGAATGTGAAGATGTACCAAGATATCTTCATCTTGGTGTATTTATTGAACATTTAATGCTAAGTTATATTGTTAGAACTTCATATTTTATTGATTAATATATTTCTCTGAAGGAATTACAAATATAAACAATCCAATATTTCATGAGACAACAAAAATTATCAGACAGAGGATACAAATATGCATTTACAAAATGTAATAAAATTATGTCCTGAAATGTCAAAACAAAATATAAACATATCCCATTTCGGGAATAAATTATACGTGCCTGATTTAAATAATCAAAATGACATACATCCATTTTTTTCATGATTTTTATTATTCAAATTATGCACATATATTAACATAATCTAGTAAGAGGTACAAAGAATTTGGTTAAAAGTTTTCAAACACAGATTGCAAAGAACTTGAAAAAATATGAAAAACTGAATAGTCCAAACAGGTCTTTATTATGTAATAATAAAAATATTGATACAACCACAACAGAACCTAATGATCAAACAGAACTCAATAGTTTTTAATTTTTTTACCATTTAATTTTAAGGATACAACAGCTTCCTGCTCCAGCATTACTACAAAATGTAAGAATATCTGTTTCCTAATTTATATTTCGATATTCCTTTGGAATATATGTTACACAAACTTCATGAAATGATGTCATGGGTTATATTCAAATACATAATATATATTTAACTTTTCTCTTCCTTTTTCTCTGTTTTCGTGTAAGTCCATTTCTTTTTACCACGTAGTTCTCTTAAACGGTCATATTCTTCTATAAAATCTTGATGCTCATCTCTGTATAAACCATAAAGTCTGAGATTTTTCATTAATATATCAATTTCTGTGTGCCTTGGGTAATAGTCAACTATCTCATCTCGCTTGTGTACTGGTTTTTCAGAGAACAATTTTACAACCTTCATTGATTTTGAATTGGTATCTCTATATACTTCACCGAAAATTTTATTACTCAGCTGATTCATACGCTTAGCATAAACTGTACCCACTTTTGCGAGATCCAAATATTTGTTATTCATGTTGAAATATTTACAAATGTGCGATTAATCTGTTGCGTGTCCTATACAGAAGAGTATAAATAGAGGTTATTTAGGTTAAAAGCAATACTAACCAATCGTAACTGGAGTATGCGTAAAACCGTGGACATATATTGACCTATAGAAAGAACAGTGTCTTTTTCTGCTGGGTTGTGTCGAAAGACGGAAGGGGATGACTATAGACATATATAGACGGAGGCTCCGTCACGGAGCCACAGCCGACTCTCACTATGGCGAGGGGACCATAGGATTGGAGGGGAAAAGGCAGCGGTCGTTAGAGCTACCACCGACTAGGTATAGAATAGACCTATCATCCAATGCTTTTTTCTGTCCCACGTTCATA